CCATTTTAGAAGCCCTTGCGCAATTATGCCCAGCTTTGGGCTCGAACCCGTTGGCCAAAACTCTTCAGAACCTGAAGCTAGCATTGGTTAAACTATGCACAACAAGAAGCAAAGGGCGCACGCCCATCATGCACACACAAGCTTTTGTAACGTAATTTGAGGCTTGGGGTGAGAACTCGCAGTTGTCACTGAAGAGGTTGAAACGAAAGGCAATTGCTCTGCTTACTCGTTGTGCCAGGTGCAGACCTCCGGATATCAAATTTACATGTCGAGACACACAGTTCAGTGAAGATGGTTCAGCAACTCTTTCTTTTTTTGGATAAAAAATGACAAGGATCGAACTGGTTTTGAAATGCTCATACGCCCAGCACTGAATCCACTCGTTGACTCCATAACGTGCATCAGGAGTGACATGAGTAGAACACAGGACATGACACAGGGGGGCGGGTCTTGTTTCTGTTGTACCCATTCCCCAATTAATCATTTACGGACAATATCTTATCAGCTGATGTTTAATGTGGACTATATGATTTACAAAGAGCATGGACATGTTAATGTGGTCCAATAGTTGGAACTGAGCAATGCTCTATAAGGAGTTGTCTCCCAGCATTAATATCTGAATTATGGGCTCGTTTTATGCTTCATTTTAAACATCTCTATACCCTAACTGTAGAAAACTGTGTTTGGTTGGTTCTGCATGTTTGCGATACTGCCATACATGTAATATTCTTTGTTTGAAGTTTTGTGTTGTTATACACGGTTTTCCCGGATACACTCACAGCGCTGAGCGGAGCAGTGTGTCTCTCTATTTAGGCATATTGTTTATTACAAATTTTTGCTACAAAAATTTGTCTTTGGCAATTGATTTTGACATCAGCATGACTTAGATTTATGTATAAATTGTTGTCAGCTGATGTCATGATTAATTGAGTAATTGGCTACATATCCTCGTGAGGGTGAGTAGATTTATCGTTCTTGCCTTGTGCCCACCAAGAATAGGTTGTTGTGATTGAGTGGTATACCTTGTGTCATGTGTTGTGATTGAGTGGTATACCTTGTGTCATGTTGTTGTGATTGAGTGGTATACCTTGTGTCATGTTGTTGTGATTGAGTGGTATACCTTGTATCATGTTGTTGTGATTGAGTGGTATACCTTGTGTCATGTTGTGTTTTGTACGGGACGGTCTTGATGATTCCTGCCAGTTAGAAGCACTTGGGAGAATAGGCATATTGTTTGTTACAAAATTATGCTACAAGAAATATTTTCTTTGGCAATTGATTTTGACGTCAGCATGACTTATTTTTTAAATGTATAAATTGAGAAATTGAGTGATTAAGTGAGAAATAACTGGAAAATCGATTGCTTGGCGAACGGATAATTCTTCACTTAGGCTT